TCTAACTTTTAACTTTGTAATCTTAAAATCTCAATAAAATACTATTAAAAAAAAAGATAACACCATACTTTTTGTGTAAGTAGATCTTGGCATCCTTGGATTGATGTAAGAAAAGAATGAAATATAATGCTAACTGGAGAGAGAGTCCAGAATATTTGCAGTAATTGGGTATATGTGCAGCATATGAGCAAGTCATAAGGCACAAATAACAATACTTAATATTTTATAATGCTTTTAATTGTTCACACTATTTTATATGTACCTGTAACTGTAATTCTTGGGGGGAAATTGAATATTTTTAGATCAGGCTGACATGGTGATATGCTGAATTTATGACTTGAATAATTCTGAGCCAAGTGGAAATCTCATTATCGCTTTACTGCTTATTGCCTAATTGGTAAATAGATTTTTTTTTTCCAAATTACCAGCCAACAGAGCCTTGTATTTGATTTATCATGGGTCCAAAGTTGACAAGACAGAAAAGAACAAGTCTCCTCCCTTGCTTGGAAGCAGCCTGCAAGTTGGCAGCAGAGTAACCAATAGTGTCAGCTGAGTTTAGCCCACACTTCCCCCTCCCCAAAGAAAACCAAATGGAGCTTCCCACTACTTTTAGAAGTTCTTTTCCATGTTATGTAAACTCTCTGAAAGTCTGAATTTATGTAGATAAAAACCTTGGATAACTTGAATCAGATTCGGAGGATTTAAATCAGAGAAGTGATACTTGAGATAAAAAACGAAACCTGACAGGTCTGTCAATAGATTCAGGCAAGGCTTACTCAGTTTGAAAACTCTGATGAACAATTTGCAATAGGTATGGTAAAAGTTTTGAGAGTGAACACAGATCTTCAGAATGACGTGATCTGCCTTCAGTACCTCATTGCAGAAATAATGTAAGTTTTCTAAACAATCTGTTTTTGAGAGACAGAGAGAGGTTCAGTTGAAGTTGCTTCCAGAAGTAATATCTGAAAGCATTCCCTTTTTAAAAAAATTTTTTTTAATTGCATAAGCTTAAAGAGTACAAAAATAAATAAATAAAAGAATAAAGAATAAAGAAAAGGCAATGAGGCAAATACCAAAGGCCAAGAGGAAAATAGAACATAAGTAAAAACATTATAAAGAGGAGCTTTTGGTGATACATTCTCCCCTTCCATTCCTCCTCCCCCATTAACCACTACTTAAATATTTGTACTATACTTTAAATATAAAACATTGGAGAGTTTTGCTTATATTTTTCTAAAATTCCTTACACTGCAGAGCAAGATAAGCCTGAGCTGCTTTCATGCAAAAATTATACATGAGATTATATCACTGCAGCCATAGGACACATGTGAAATTAAAGTGGCTATTATGTGGGCTTCCATCTTCTCTTGATGAAAAATGTAGTTGTGTTGTTGTGAGATTCCTGGGATCCATAATACAGGACCGTACATTTATCACAGCAATTGGACACCCTTGGATTGGAAGGCAAAGATCATCTTCCTCTATACTGTAGATGGTTCAGAAGCAGAAGCTGTTCACTGAAGCAAAGCAAAAAATTATGTTTTTCTTTTTCCAAAAAGCAGTTTATTAATGCATGATTGTTTAATGGATTATTTTAGTATCTTTTAAATTTTTCTACTTTTCAGAGGAGAATATGTTGAACCAGCTTAGGAATGGAATTCCTGTAACTGTAACTTTTATATATTCAGTCTAGAAGTCCTAGTGAACTTGGAGTATGTGGGGATCTCTCTCTCTCTCTCTCTCTCCACACACAGACACAAACTCTTCTGTTTTTTATAATTTTAAATAATTTGTGTCAGCTAAAAATCCCCCTTTTTTCTTTTCCTTGACCTATGGAAATATTGATGTATGAATGTGTACACAGACATACATATACTTTTTATTCAATATGATGTCTCTAGTAGTTTCAAGGAACATAAAAAGTTTTAAATAGATATTGTACTTAAACAAACTGGGCAACTTAAAATCTGAAGTTGTATTTTTTACAAGAAAGTCATATTCTTCCAAAAAAGAAAGATTCCTTAACTAGGAGATGGGCTGCTCAAATATACAGAATGGAAATTCAAAATCTGTAGAGTTGTAGTAATTTCGATGAACAAGTAGAATGAAAAATAAATCACCCAGAAAGATATATTTAAAATTGATCATTTAAGCATTTTATTAATTATTATGATCCTGCTAAGGATTTTCCAAATATGTTATATAGATTTTTGAACATCTTTTTTCCTTTGGCAAAGGATTGGTTAATTAAGGCCAGAGATTTCCATCATTAATTAGGTCAGACTACCACATCACCCATATTAAATTCTTGTAGACAGAAAAAATCGCAAGCTTTTATGTTGTATCTTAATTAGGTTGCTGTACGGCAATCTTAAACCCTTTCCAAGAATAATATAGCAATTTCAAGAGTTGGGCTTGACTAGTTTATTTTTTTATCTTGATCTTTAATTGAATGGATTAATAAATGTAATACAAGTACTTTAGCTGTATTACATCATGCCCAAGAAAGAATCAACCCACTTTTTTATAGAGGGCATTTAAGTATGCCTTTATCAACAAATCCCCATTTTATAACACAGTTGCAAAAAGAGCTTGAATAATTTCTTCTTATGAATTGACATTTTCAAAATATATTAATCGTTTGGGATGCCTTGACCACATCAAATTATGGCTGATGCTTTGTGGAAAAAGAAAAGAAAAACAAGAAACAAGACAAGACAGGAAGAAAAACAATTCAGAAACTTTTGGGTACATTTGCAAGATGGCTTTATATAATTATGAATGCTACGCAGGAACTTAATTCTCTTTATCCCCCCGAAATAGAGCATTCATTGACTCATATAAAGCAAAGACACTGGTAAATGATTAGCTTTTCAAGTGAAACAACTCCATCAATATTGTCTTTACTTTCACTTCTTGCCCAAAGTAAAATATGTGATTCTGACTCAATCATATTTTTACTCTCAACAGTATAATACTGGCTCAAATTAATTGACAAAGGAATTAGTTAATTTTTATATAACATTGTTCTCCATAAGATTGTGTATGATCAAGTTCTTGCTTAGCCACATTTTTATCTTTCCAATTACCTCTATGAAAACAAGAAAAGCTCCGAGTTCAGACGGCTATCCCACAGAGTGATATATAAGACATTGAGTTTTTTGCTCCAATACTTTAGAGGTATATAAATAAAGCTTTTAAATAAAGTTTTTCTTACCTTCTTCACTGAGGCTTGTATAACTGTGATTTTGAAGGCTGGGAAAGATCCTGCTGACTGTGCAAGCTGTAGTACAATTTCCGTGTTGGAAACATTGACACAAAAATATTGACGACAACCATAGCAACAGATTGCAGAAAACGTTACCTTCAATGATGGCCTTTCAATACTAAAAATTGCTGCCATTGCACAATACTTTGATAATTTATCAATTATGCAATTAACTGGAGTAAGTCTCGTATACTTTCTATAAACTACTGCTTCATGGAAATATGTAATAACTGAGTTTCAATCGTTCTGCTGAGTTCCTTTGAAGATCTGGAAATAGTTGTTCCAAGGAAACTTTCTTCACTTGTGGATATAAATATATCATTTTTAAAAAACTCAGATATAAATTGAAATCAACATTGTTAAAAACCTCATTGAGTTTCTGAGGAAAGATACAGTAATTGTAAAAATGAATATTACTTCAAAATTGATATAGTTAATCAGATGTACTGATTATAAGCCTGTGCTTATACCTTTAAGTTATTTTTAGCAGTATGATATTACATTTTCATATGGAAAGGACAACCCCTAGACCTTCTGTATCTAAATTATGACTATCATATGATGATGGAATGGGAGGGGGCTGTATCCCACTATGGACACAATAAAGAATTATGCCTAATTTGACATCACGGTAGGGGCTTGTCTTCATTTTCAGCCATAACTCTATTGCATTTCTGGCATTAAAGCTGCAGTGCATAATTGCAAGATGTTGGGATAGAAATATAATTTTGGCTCTTATTCAGATGGTAAACTTACACTCTGGTATAATCCCAATTTCAAAATTGTAAATAAACTTTTTTTGGAGTGGGGGGGGAGTCATGGGCAAGTAGGGTTGTTTATACAGTTTATTGCTAATCAAGTTTTCAAACTATATGAGTTATTGCAGGAGGAATTTGGATTGCATATAATTCCAAATTGAAACATCTGATTTTATAGTTTTTATAACTCCTGAATTACTATCTGTAGTGGAATGTGTTTTGGATTATTCTATGTGTACAGTATTTGTTTTTATAAAGAATTACAGCATATGGCTAAAGTGGATATCAATTATTTGCAAGAATTTTGGAATAAAGAACTGGAAAATCCCATGTTAGCAAATCAATGGCCGAATCTTTAAGCATATTCAGTAAGTTTCTCATGATTTTTGAGACAGATTCAAAATTCTTTTTCATATTTTAGAAGGATTGGTTATCAACCTCATTATGTTGGAAATGTAAACAGATGTAATCAGAGTGAGAGGACATTTATTTCCATGATATAGACTTGTCACACTATTGTCCAATTTTGGTTTAATATTCATTAGTTTGTTAATATGGTGTTAACAAAGATCAATACATTTAAATATAACTTATTACTATATGAAGAACTATGGATCTATCAATCATGGGTAACAGTAAATAATGATTATTTTTCAATATTGGAATGACAGCATGGCCCCAGATTTACAAACTTTGATAGCTAATATGTGCTTACTTTCAGTTTATGAATGGGTTTGCTATCAATGTCACAGTCCAGATTTATTGATATTTTAAAAAATTAGGGTGAATAATTTCATATATATTTCCCTCCCTCCCTCCCTCCCTTCTTAAAATAAAAGAATCTGAGAAACAGTAGGTGGCCTGAGGTTATCAGCTGAATTTATGGCCCAGGCAAAATCAACTGAGAAGCAGTCATTATGTTATACCATTTCTGTATCAATCACATATGCCATATGCAGCTAAGGACAGTTTATGAACACCTGCATTTTATAATCTGCAGCTGCAATAAAAATGCAATGCATTTTTCCCCTTTTCTGCTTCCCAAATACCTCATAACCATTCTGAAACCTCATTGTTAAGTAAGAAACAGTTCTCGCAAATGTAAACATAAGAATTTTGATGTTGACATTTGTTTAATGCACCACACTTCTCAGTGCCATCTATCTTGGTCTGTTGGATAATTGTAATTTAGAGAGGTGAACATTTGCTGAAGTGTAACCATTCAGAATAACATCTGGTCTTGCACGTGCTTTGAAATAGATACACACTGTGAACAATTTCTTATCTCTCAGTTGAGGCTGGGTAAAATTAATAGCAAAAGTTTTCTTTTATTTTCATTTCAAAGTTGCAGCATTCCCTGCTCAGCAAGTCTATCCCAGCTTGACAACAAAGGTCACCCTTGATTAGTAAAAACTGCTTATCACATTAAAAACAAAGTTCTATTTTTTCCAACAATCTAAAAACCTTTAACACATTATAGGATTTGGATCTTACATTTTTATCAAGTGCAATCTACAAGAAATGGGAAGCACTGGGATTATTTATTGTACACCATCTAGATTCTTTGCACTTTGGAAGACTTCAAATAACCTGTCCAGAGGCTCTCAAACTTTTATTGCTCATGGCCCCTTTCTGAGCCTTATTTACCTGTGTGACCTCCTCCCCCCGCCCACCACCGTTCCCTGGAAAAAAAGGTACTTTATCATCTGCATCGTTTATTAATCTAAACTGCTGAAATTGGCGGAGAGAATGAGATGTGAGGATTATGACAAATTGATCATAAGCCTGGCAGTTAAGTTTGGATGGCCTCCTCAGAAACCTATTGTGGCCCCCTAGAAATATGGCATGGTCTCCTGGAAGGCCACACATTGAGAACCATTGCTCTATGCTCTTCATGGCAAGGACTAAAATAAGAAAGTAACTTTAATCCAAATTGTCTGTAGGATATTAGAAGCATGATTTCATACCACAGAAAGTTTATAAATAGTTTGAGTTGGGAAAGAGCCTATAGCTGTTGTGTAACATCTAAAGCTAGTAGAAATCTTTGAAAAGGATTCAGATGAATTTGAAAAGGAATCAGATGAATTAATGTATTTCATCAGTTTCTTGATTTCTTCATGGATATACAAAGTTGCCTACATCAAGAGGTTGGACATAGACTTAAAGCTGATCCAACTGATGTTTTAGTCCCTATGGCTTATATATGCCCCATATTGCAGAGTCAATAAAAGACCAATATTGCCTTTAAATTATTGGCCAAAATTCTGCATATTATTAGGCACAGCCATTGAATATGGATGCATTCCTATTACAAGCCAAATTCCCATGCTTGAGCAACCTTTATGCTGTGCTATGTATAAACCAGAAACAATCTCCTTCATTTTTTGCTACTAGTTTAATGGAAATTTTTTGCTTTCAATATTTTTTTTCCAAAGAATAGGTAGAATGTGATGCTTTCGACTTTTTAGTTCCAAAATGGCCAAGGGACATCTCGTGGTCTATAGTTCCCCTGACTGCTCACTCTGCCATTAAAATCTAAGGAAAGCCACAATGAACAAACTTCTCACACTGATTTTTTTTCCAAACAGGGCAGCCAGGAAGGTTTCAGAGTGATGTTCAGATGCATAACAGAAAGTAAATAATATCAAGAGTAGTGTCTCTTCTACATAAGTTAAATGAGAAATTGTTAGAGGTGGGAGTGCACTATAATTGCCATACATATAATAAAGCTGTTGTATCGGAGCCAATGAGATGCTTTTCATTTCCTCTAAGAAGAAATTACTGTACTTCAATGATAGCTTGATTAATCTGGCACTCCATAACTAAGATCCAGCATGGTCACCTGGCCCCAAATAGCTTTGTAATATTTTTATTTTGTCAAGGGAGTTCCTTGAAGAGAGAATTTATAGGTTAAAATTTATTGTAATTCTGACCAGTTTAAAAAAAAGAAAAAGAAAAAGAATATGTTGGTCTTTTTAAAAAAATGGCAAAACTCAAGTAATCAGATCTCATATGTGTGTTTGTGAGTATGCCTGGTATGAGTATGAGTGATTCTGTGAAAAAGAAATTTTCTCAGCTCCTAGAATAGACATCACCTGGAGATGAGGATGGTGACTAGTTCAACAATACTGCTGTTTTACATGGGGATGGGAGACAAACTGTTGTAACTTAGCATATTGTGAAGAAACGGGATGGAAGCCCAGCACAAAGAAAGTAGGAGAGTTGATACCAGCAAAATATTTTGAACACCCTTCTGGCAAAAGTCATTATAGGGTGTGAGACAATCATTTTCACTTCACATTATGAAAGTCTTTTATTAGCCCCTACATGAGAAATAAAAAGATTGGACTTTCTCACAAGATGAAAGCAGTTACTGACATGATAAATGAAAGGGGTGCCACTTGGATGTAAAAGAGAGAGTTTGGGATAGCTAGAGTGGCGTGGACATATAACATGCAGTAAAGGCGCCCTATTCATGTCCTGCCCCAATGACGGAAATTAACTGGGTAACTTGGTGGTTCTCTGAGTACAGCCTACTCAGGTAAGTGGGAAAGCGTTGTGAGACATTTCATTTCCTCACACAATGGCTCTATTAAAATGATCTAAGAACACTGCCTTAAAGAAACAGCTTCATGGCCAGGAAGAGCTCGTTCCTTAATCTGCACCAATGAGCAGCCTTTCCCAACTTGATTCTCCAGATGTTTTGGCTGAAGATTCCTCTCTATATTGACTATTGGCCAGGTTGACTGGGGCTGATGAGAAAGGACTTCCCATAGGGAATAGTGATGGCCTTTAAAAAGGTGTTGCTGAGTCAATTCATTCTTTTCATAAAATATTGATCCAGCAGAAGCTACTTTATATTGCTCTTCCTTGGTATTATTTTTAACCATCATGAATTCTGCCTGTAAAAAAAACTTTTGCTGTTCTATTTTATCATGTTTTCTTTGGAATATAACGTGGATACAGATTTTCTGTGGAAAATCAGGTAAATGACACAATGGAAGATGCTTTAAAAAAAAAAATTAACACCCTGGAATGGCAATCTTTTTTTTTTTTTTTTTTTT